GTGTGTGTGTGTGTGTGTGTGTGTGTGTGTGTGTGTGTGTGTGTGTGCATGGCTTATGGGGATGGAACTCAGGGCTCTACCACTAGGCTTGCCCACAGATTCATTCTAATTTTTCGGGACAGGGTTTCTCTGTCTGGCCTTAGCTGTCCTGGACTTGCTTTGTAGACCAGGCTGGTCTCGAACTTACAGAGATCCATCTCCCTGAGTGCTGGTATTACAGGTGTGCACCACTGCGCCCTGCTGCCCACAGATTCTTTATACCTGTAACAGCATTCTGCTGAAAGGAATGTACATATATTTGCTCTGTGTCAACAGAACAATATCTTGTAACATTTTAGTTGTGTCCTTGGTTGATGAGTAAGGAAAAGTTCAGAATTATCAAGGTTATGTTCTCTATCATAGGATCAGTTCTATGCTCAGTCTGTGTTAGAGAATAAGGAGCTATTCATTAGTAATTTAAAAGTGCAAAAGGAGATCATGGCATGTTAAAATATGTCCCTTCCTGTTGCAGATTGCAATGCGGGCCTTAGGATTTGAGCCAAAGAAAGAAGAAGTTAAACAAATGATAGCTGAAATCGACCAGGAAGGGACTGGCACCATTAATTTTGAAGATTTTTTTGCCATTATGAGCGTAAAAATGGTATAGTATCTTTTTCAAAGGAATGCCATCAGAGCCTTGTGCATGACTGGGGCTGGAGCACGGAGGGGTCATGGGGAAATTGGAACTAGGTGTTAAGGGTGGGTGGGATGTGACAGCACAGCAAGAAGAGATGTTTTCAGAGTGGTCAAGATTGTAGAGAAGAGTTGTGTCAGGAGGGGTTGACATCCGGCAAGATGCAAGGGAGCCGGAGCCCTAAAGCCTTGTACCTGGCAGTCACTGAGCTCCTACCGTGGCCACTGTTGCTGAGTTCCTCCAGGCCTTGGAGCTTGCAGTCTTAGGGACCTTTAGGGTAGGCATGAGTATGTCGAAATAATTGTTCAAAGGGCAGTAGGTTGAGAACTCAGTTTCCTGGTACAGATACACACACACAGCTCTAGAGTTAATAGACCTATAGAGTCCAGCTCGATAGAACAAATAAGCAACCAATAACATGTCATTTTCTAAAGAGTGAAAAAGATGAGAAAGAAGAAATCCTGAAGGCTTTTAAATTATTTGATGATGATGCTACTGGAAGCATATCACTGAATAACATCAAGAGGGTTGCCAAAGAACTAGGGGAAAACTTAACAGAAGATGAATTACAGGTACATCTTGTTTGTTTTATGATTATAATGTGTGTATAGCTTTATATGGTTTATTTAACTTAGTTGTGCTTCCACATTAAAAAAAATTCCTAGTGAGTTCCTATTACTGTACATCTTTAATAATTTTGGTCTGTCATGTTACATTGTTTTACAGGAGATGCTTGATGAAGCTGACCGTGATGGGGATGGAGAGATAAATGAGGAAGAATTTTTGAGAATGATGAAGAAGACCAGTCTTTACTAGCTCTGCTTCGTGCCTTCTTGGAAGTTTTGACAGCTTGCCTGTTAAGCAGTTAAAAAAATGTAACACTTTGGCATATTCATTTCCAATTTTAGTTTATATGCTCAGGTCGGTTCCTGGTGTCTAATCCTTGCAAGAAGTTATGTGTCTCTGCCAGTGTCATTAAATCTGTAGTAGCAATAAACAAAAGAAGCATGACTTATTTGTATGATGAACCCGTAAACAGTGTTTCCATAGCTATTTTTAAAGCTCTAGGTTCAGAGACATTTAAAAATTTTCAGTTTAATAAACTTGGCCCCCAGATCCAGATGATATTTTTTTTAAAAAAATCTGAAAACAGTATTTTTCCATCATTTCCTTTTGTATGACTTTTTAAAAAGCCCGATAAACATGTGTTTTTTAATCAGTTTTTCAAATATGTAAAGTACTAATAAAACTGGCTGATGTACAGTGTTTCTGATTTTCTTCTGGTAGTTACTGCTGTGCTGTGAATGACTCTCCCCAGTTCAGGCAACCGTGGGTTCTTTAAGAGGTGAGGCCACTAGGGTTCCTCTATTAATGAGGTTAAGACCCTTGTAAAGAGTCTTCAAGGCCTATGAGATGACTTAGCAGGCCAAGGCACTTGTCACTATGCCTGACAAGCTGAGTTTGGTCCCACATGGTGGAAGGTGAGAAGTGGCTCCCACAAGTTGTCCCTCATCTCCACATGCAATTTGAATTGATTATATGTATGGGGGTTTAACTGCATATATGTCTGTGTACCACTTGAGTACCTGGTGACCAGAGATGCCAGAAGAGGGCTTTGGAATTAAAGAAGGTTTCTGAGTTTCCATGTGGATGCTGAGAATTGATCCTTGGAAGAGCAAACCAGCCTTGGACTTTTGTATTCTGTCATGGGCACCCACAGTAAGGCCTTCACAGGTTAATGCTGGTGCTTTTATCACAGACTTCCACAACACAAGATGACCCAGCTTGTTATATTTTACTATGGGAACAAAACTGAAGGACAGATGCCAGGATGTTAGGATCACTTGGGAAAGGACTCTAAATACCACTTAGGCAGGTTCAGTCTAAATCTTTGGCTGGATTCAATTATCCACCAACTTAAATGAGGTCCGTGTCATTCTTTGGAAGTCTGGTGTATAGCACCAATGCTCTTGCTGCCATGCCGTTGCTCTGTCATCATGGCCTCTAACCCTCTGAAGCCATATGCCCAACTAAATACTATCATAAGGTGCCTTGGTCCTGCTGCTTTATCGAAGCAATAGGAAAGTAGCTAATACAGTGCTTATGCTCTGGTAAGCAGCCCCAATGGAACTCATTGGCTCACATACAGAGACAAATAGAGCAGAAAGATTAAGAGCAAGGGGATCAGGAGTGGGGACAAGAGAGTGGAATGAGAGTAGACATGATCACAGTATATTAGGTACATGGACAAAAGTGTCACATTATGCATTCTTAATATATACCAATAAAGCATTAAGAATTTATACATACAAACACACTTTAAAAATCCGACAGAGCCAGGCAGTAGTAGGACACTCTTTTAATCCCAGCATTCCAGAGGTAGAGACTGGCGGATCTCTGTGAGTTCGAGGCCTGGTCTACAAAGCTAGTCCAAAACAGCCAGGGCTGCACAAAGAAACTGTGTCTTGGAAAAACAAATAATTAAATATCCAATAGAAAAATAGAGAGGGCTGGAGAGATGGCTCAGAGGTTAAGAGTACTGACTGCCCTTCCAGACGTCCTGAGTTCAATTCCCAACAACCACAAGGTGGCTCACAAGCATCTATAATGTGATCTGGTGCCCCCTTCTGGTATGCAGGCATACATGCAGTCAGAACATTGTATACACAAGTTTTCAAAATAAATAAATAGAAAACATGGAAAAACCAGACTTAGGAAGGAAATA